GGTGTGTTTAATTAGGGTTGGAGCTAAACTCTGCAGGACACCGGCCCTCCAGGACCGAGTTTGGACAGCCCTGTTTTAGGCAATATAAAAATCCTGGCCAGGACGTGTCACATATGAACGGTAAATATGGCCACCCTAACATTAACCAATAGGTCTGAAATAAAATCTGCTAATTCTTTTAGGAAATCTGTATATGGCCCTGGCCGTCTATAGTAGCCAGAGCAAGAGATAGGAGAGATTTCTTTATATTTTTTATATTTGATACAATCACACCGGTATGATTAGATCGTTCAGTGCGGCACAGCATCAGCTGCTAAATTCAAATTTGCGTTCGCGCTTTGGCTGGCGCTGAGCCAGAGAAAGACGTGTTTGTACAGCGCTGCATTATATCCAATCACACACGATTCTGTTGAGCTTATGAATGCAATAAAATCTGCTAATTCTTTTAGGAAATCTGTATATGGCCCTGGCCGTCTATAGTAGCCAGAGCAAGAGATAGGAGAGATTTCTTTTGCATATCTGACAGTGTAACATTAAGTATACTGTAAGTATTTCGAGATAGTTAAACCTGTATCCTGTTTTCTGAGTAACACTGAGAATATCACTCAGAGGCGTCATTCCCATTCAAAGTGAGGGGGCATGTGCCAAGGGGATTTTGAATGCAGCTTCCAAAAGACAAAAAATAGCCGAATAATATTTTTTATATTTGATACAATCACACCGGTATGATTAGATCGTTCAGTGCGGCACAGCATCAGCTGCTAAATTCAAATCTGCGAGAGAGCCAGAGACAGACGCGTTTGTACAGCGCTGCATTATAACCAATCACACACGATTCCGTTGAGCTTATGAATGCAATGGCCAATCAGGCGTTCAGATGAGTCATCGCTGAAACACCTGCGTTTTGTTGTGCAGTGTGCGCTCGCTGACTGAATTCTGCTCTCTCGCAAATTCTCTCATCATAAACCACACGATTCTGTTGAGCTTATGAATGCAATGGCCAATCAGAGGCATTCAGATGAGTCATCGCTGAAACTCAGTGTTTTGTTCACTTGCTCGCTGAATAATTAGTAACTTACAATATTGTTATTAAATTCACATTAAATGCAAAGTCATTCATAAACTCAAGTCAAGGCTCGTATAACCCCACTTCTTAAAAAACCCAACTCTTTTAGAGAACTACAGACCGGTTTCCCATTTGCACTTATATATTGTTGCTCTTTTGTTAGTTTTGACTGCTTTTATTGTCCTCATTTGTAAGTCGCTTTGGATAAAAGCGTCTGCTAAATGACTAAATGTAAATGTAAATGTAAGTCGTATTAAAAATATTTTATGGCATAACACCCATATCTGGTAGGCTACTTAAGTAAAAAGTCGGGTTTTTATGTCTAGTTAATAAATTACGCTATTAGTCTACTTTGCCCGTCACCATTTATTGATCAAATAACAATCTACAAAGGTGCAAAACGCATTTACTTAGGCTACACATATTTGAGATTCGAGATATTTCCTAATATAGTTAACACGTTTGGAAATATTTCGAATAAAAAGGAAAAAAATCAGTTATATCTATATATCTAACTATATAT